GGGGAAGGCGGGCGAGGCGGGGGGCTGCGCGCGGGTAAACGTGGCTTTGGTGAGCGTTGCTGCCGTTGCGTTGGCCGTACCGGTGCAGGCGGGAGAATGGTCTGAGGGCTTCGGCCAGCGCCGGGAGCGACGTTCTGGCTGCAGGAGACAGTTATCCTACAGGTGATGCCTGTACGCAGAGAGCGAGCTTTGCTTTTCTCACTGCGGGCAGAGTTTGTCCTCGTTTGAAGTCGTAAAGAAGTCTTACACGAGGTTAGAAGTTGAGATAGCTCTTCCAGATCTTTTTCATTCCTTGGAAAAGCAAATTTAACATGCAATTTTCTGAAAGAAGTATAAACACAAAATATTCAGCTGTACTGTCCATAAGAAACTTCTTTTTAGAATATTCTGCTGAATTTAGCCTTTGTGAAGGTGGACATCTTTAGAACTTGGTACTTATGGCATTTATCTAAGTTCCTAGCATAATAGTTGGGAGTTTCCTAGGCAAGTGACAAGACTTGTAAGGTACATTTAGCTACCTTTGTGCTCTGAAGTGAAAAAGCTGTTTGGGCTGTCTTAAATCAAATAAACACTTGGATTTTCTTTTTTTTTTTTTGGCCTCATTAAAATCAGTGTAATAGCTATGCCAAGACTCTCTATATAGAATTTTCTTAAGTCAGGTAGATTGGCTACGTTTGAAATGGAGTAATGAATGTAGGTTTTCTTACTGTCAGTGGGTGTCATTGTGCATTCACAGTGCATCTAAGCTTCGATCTTGGTAAATGTCTCCAGGAGGATAGATATTGTTTATCACAAATATGTTTGTATTTATGCTCAAGCTCTTTCTGTGGTTTTTTTTGTTAAAAAAGGAATGCTTGTAAAAGACCATTCATTGGAGAAGATAATTATTTGACGTTCAAGCCTATAGTTACTCATATTTTTGTCCTGCTTCTGCCTCAAATAATCTTTTTTCTTATTTTTCTTCTTACAGCAATCGGAAGACTTTGTGAAAAATGTAAGTATAGCTTCCACATATAGCTGCTTGAGAAGATGGTGTTGTGGTTAGAGCGGGATTGGATTCTGATTTTGCTTTAACTTGATGTCACTCTTTGAGATGGGAAGAGTTACTATTGCATTGCAAGTGTAAATCACTGAATATTTGCAAAGCTACGTGCTCAAATAGGTTGTCAAAGAAATGCTAGAGTATATGCTGCCAGCGTTTTCAGTAGCTGAGGCTACAGTGACTTCTTGATTGTTTCCTTGCAATCTGTAATACAAAATGATCAGCCTGATCATTTCAAAGCAGGAGAAAAAATGCATTTTTGGAATCTGACTTATTCACACCATGAGAAAGGTTCCCTTCAGCATCTGGGAGAGTAAGAAATGGTGGGGGCAGAACGAACACCTAGAGTTAGAGCAGAAAGAAACACCACAGAATCAGGTGCCAGTGCTCAACTGTAGAGGGGAAGAAAGTGTATGATCTGTCCTTAGATCCTTGTGGAGGAACACAACAAATAGGATGACTAGTTGATGAGTCAACAATAGTATGAAAATAAGCAAAGTGGGGGGAAACACAGTCTGGAGCAACAAAGTTGTTTTCAAGAGCACTCAGCAGTGCAACAGGTTCCCATTGGTAGTAGTTGAGGGTTGTCGTGCTGGAGGTTTAAGAGAAGGTTAGATGAGCTGTTGGTGGGAGTCAGGATTAGATGCCTTGGGAACTGGTAATAGGATATGAAGCCTTTCATCCCTAGGTCAGTGTCTGGGATAAGGTCCAGCACAGCAGAGACTGTCAATGGCATCTGATCGCTGCTTGCCTGTATGAGTACTTGAATTTCACTCAGTTCCTTGTGAGAAAGCAGGAGCAACTTTTGTGAAATGGCTGTTTATGCCAGTTTGCCCTTTCTTTGGCCTTCTCACAGATGAAGGATTAAAGGGACCACGAGTACAATCTCTTATCTCTTTGAGGATAGTAACTCCAGACTTTTGTTGATGTGGCACTGTGGGAGATGCTTACGCTGCTGCTTCTGTGTAGGTAAGGACACTAGTCCTGTCAGTCCAGCATTTTTTTCACAAGTGAAAATTTCAGGAAAAATTCTAGAGTAAAAGTAATGGTATGATCTAAACAGGTGTTTGCTAATCACAGAAGTGACTTTGGGTTTCTTCCCTGATTTTGAATGCATGAATAGATAAAAAAGCCCTCAAATATTGCAGGCTACTAGCCCTTGTTCCTCTCAAGTCTGTGTGCAAATACAAAGTTGCACTCAGTGCCTGCAAGATAAATTTTTGCAGTTCAGTTCTATTGTCTTCCAGTGTACAGGCAAGTTCTTTGACTAGGAAGCTCTTCCTTTTCTGTGTGGCGGTGGGGAAAAGGACATTCTGTAACCGAAGGCTCTGCTGTACTTGCAGGTGATGGCAAATGTGTGATCTGTGACTCCTATGTGCGGCCCTGCACTCTCGTGCGCATATGTGATGAGTGTAACTACGGCTCGTACCAAGGACGCTGTGTGATCTGTGGGGGTCCAGGAGTGTCTGATGCCTACTACTGCAAGGAGTGTACCATCCAGGAAAAAGATGTATGTTGTCATCCTGTTGAGTTGGTTATGTCTTTATCTAATAGCTGTGCTTATCTTTAAGGGGCTTGGAGCTAGTGAAATTAGTGGTGGGACGCGGGACACTTAGGTTCCACTACCAGTATTGGCACTTGTTTTCATTACCTTGTACCTTTCGTCCCCTGTTGGTAGTTCCCTGTTTTTGCAAAGCATTGTGAAGTATCGTAGCATTTTGAGGTTTCATAACTCCCTTCATCCTGAAGGATCTTTGACCACTTTGCACTGCACGCTCATGGTTCGCTTCCTCCATGCACTGCAAGTTACCACCTTAAGTTGCTATCTTACTAGATCTCTCAGCCTGGATTTTGTCAGGGTCTGAGATATTCCAGACACTGCAAAGGCAGTAGTAGGATCAGCTCCTCACTAGGAGTCCGTTATCAGCCACTGACCAAGGGCATGTGCAATACCGTAAGGCCTATGGAATCACCACCTGTGTTTTCCTTTGGATTACAACATAAAGTTAGATCTTAGTGTCCAGTGTCTGCATTACTAACTGTGTTTCACAAGTTTAAAGTTTCTCATACAATTTCAGTGGGATATGATTTTTTTGTTGTTGTTTTTATTCTTTTTTGGAATGGCCTATATTATAGAGATCTCTTTTTCTGCTAACACTTTTTGGTGTAACAATCCCTTATTTCTATAGCTAGTGCTATAATCTTTTTATAATCCTCTTGTGCTGAAAGATAGCCACTGCGCACGTGAAATGGGGTAGCTCTTCACCCCCTGTAAGGTATTTGTTAATATCCAACACAATGAGTGCAGAACATGAAGAAATGCAAATGAAGTGGTGGAAGCACCTTAGGGAAGAGTAAGAACATGATGCTTACAGTTACAATATCCCCAGAATACAGATCTGATAGCTGTGAGAGTGTCTATTAAAGGTTGTTTGGGTTTTGGTACTTTGCAAATGCCACTTCCAGCACATCCTGTTGACAGAGGAGAACATGCTGAGACAATGGTTCAGACTGATTTGCAGGAACACGCTCAGTTGAGTGAGTTGCTGGTTTAATTCTCTACTGTGCCTCTATTTTCTCTAGAGGCCTGCAGCTAAATTCAGGACAGGGGCAGGTCCTCTTTTGAACTTAGTCATTAGATCTGACAGGACAATAATTTTTCTTAGTATCTAAATACAGATATAAGTGTTGTGATGGTGGTGCTGTGTCCTGCTTTAGAAATGCTGTGAGAGACAGTAGTTTCGTTCACTTGCCTTTGGAACTAAGGCACCTGGCTTGATAAACCATGAGTAAAATAGGCTTGGTTTTATTTTTTCCAATTCGTATAGATTTCCAGCAGGGGTTTTCCATAACCTTAACTCACCTGTAGCTTATTATGCCTGGTACAGGTGTGAAGTAGCCAGCTACTTTGCAAGGGAGGATTGTAGAAAACTTAGAGCTGGAGGAGCAGGAGAATGACATGTCAGAGCTGAGATATTTTGACAGCTGGGTCAAAAGGCTGCTGTGGGTGAAGACAGTTGCTCTGTAGCAGCAAATTCAAATGTTAGGGATTATTGCAGATGTGAGTTTGCAGATCTGAAACAGCAGATTTGACATGATTGACTTCCAGGATCGAAAAGTGCTGGCACAGGTTTAGGGTGCCCGGAAGTAGAAAAGTTAAGTTACGGTGGCTGGTGCTGATGTGAATTAAGAAAAGCAGATGGACAGAGCTCTATACCTGAAGCTCTAACACTCCAAGGTTTCAGTCACAGCACTCCCAACGTCCTCAGAGAAAGACTGGAAAAGATAGTGAAGCAAGAAAGCAAATACTAAAATGGAGGGAGGAGGTGGAATGCTGCTGGGCACGAGGAAGAGGCCTGGTTTACTCTTGGTTCATTTGTTCTGACGGAGGGAGGAATGAGGTATTGTTTCACCCCACTTCAGTGTGTGAGTAAGGGCCAAAATCCCGCCTTGTCACCCAGGACAGCTGTGAGTGTCAAAAAGTAGTCTTTTCTTTGGGACAGGAGCATGCTCGTGTGCTGCCTCCTTAGGAGGAGGCGGAAGAATGAACAGAGCCCTGCAATAATGCTGTCAAGATTGTCACAGACTCTCTGGATCGTGGGAGGCAAGGCTTGGAAGAGTCCTACTACTGAGGTTCAAAATCAAATAAGGAGACAGTAGCCAGAGATGGGTTGTGGCAGCTGTATGGGGGAGGGGTGTTTTCTTTTCCCTTCCTCTCCTGTTCTTTCTGCCATGCAGACTCTCCCCGCTGGGATGCATCTCCTGCACAGGAGCAGGTATCGGTGGGGCAGCTTGGGTGCAGTTTCTACAGCGGCTGACATCTGCCCAGAGGCTTTGTAAAGCTAATCCACGTGGGCTTACACAACAGCCAAGGACACGTGTTCCTCTGCCTGCTGGGCCCCTCACAGCTGCTGTTGCTAGCCTCAACATTTTGCCCTCGAGAGTTATGCAGGTGCTGGGTTCAGGTGGCCCATGGACAAAGGTTCCCTGGTACACCAAGAGGTGCATCCGATTTGTCTTTGCAACCACACCTCTGAGGTGGGTCTCCCCCGCTCCCTGTCTTGCTTTTCTTGTGGCTTTTTTCTCACCACCTTCTGGAATTCAGATACAAGAACTTATCTGTGTAGCTGCTGTGGATAGCTGTCCTCTCCCAAGATGACCATACAGCCTCTGCAGTAATCAATCCTGGGTGCAGGAAATCAGAGATTCAGTTCTGCTGTCACAGATGAGGAGGGGTCCCTAAACACGCGACTGGCTTGGTGATGTCTAAAGCAACAAGATTCTTTTTGGCTAAGGAGGGGAAAGGTTATTCCTCTGGGCCCTATAAATCCCCTGTATCCTAATTTAGAAAGAGTCTAGTTGAGGCACTTAGCATCCTTTTCATTAAACTGCTGATGTTATACAAGCTGTTTTCCATCTTCACCCTGAGGAAAAGAATGTCTTAGAGGAATGTTAAAAAGACATCCATCCTCTTCCCTTTTCCGCTGTCTTGCTGGTGGTAACCACAACTGGAGGGCAGTTTGTCTGCACAGGTGTTCAAAATGTGTGTTGAGGACAGGGTGCAGAGTGTGGGAACTGAGAACCTGGTAGGACTATGTAAGTGATGATGTTCTGTTTGCCCATCTCCTAACTTACATCTTTTCTGCTTACAGAGAGATGGTTGCCCTAAGATTGTCAACCTGGGCAGTTCCAAGACAGATCTCTTCTATGAAAGGAAAAAGTATGGCTTCAAGAAGAGGTGATCCTATCCGTACATGGCTACACCTCCTGTCAGGTTGGCAAGAGAGTCTTGGAACATCTCTGGACTTTACTATTACTGAAAACCGGTTGATTATTTTTCTCTAAAGCAGTACAAATTCAGTAGTATACTCGGGGCTGGAAAAGTAACAGACTGAGTGGGGACTGGAACCTGATCAGAAGCGACTATCAGAAAGAGCAGATGAGGATTACTGTCTCCTGCCTGTTCAGAAGCTCTGCTAGTAGCTGCCCCAGCTCTCTATAAAAATCGTGGTGAGCAAGTGTTTACGCGTGGCGGAGACCAGCTCAGTAAAAAGCAAGTGCCATTTCTGGTGTGGGGAAACACCTAGGGGTTTTTCTTACCAGGCCTCCTCTCAATTGTTTGAAATCGCCCCATGCATCACTATTGAAGAACAGAGCCCCAATCCCATGTGTCTGTTCCTGCACCTTCCCCCCCCGCTCCCCCCCTCCCTCCTTCTTCCAGTATATTTCCATGCTGCCCTGTTTTGTAAGGAGCCTGCTCATGGCTGGTGCCTTCCTAGGGAGAGCACAGCTGCTGCATGTTTTCTTTTACAGATTAATCCAAGGCCCTTTCTTGTAACCATTTCTGTAGGATGCATATCAATAAAGCTTCTTTTGGTTTTGGGGTTTTTTTTCTTATAACAAGGATTTCTCTGCAGTTCATTCTGTGCCTAGCCTCTCTGGAGCTTTCTGGGGACACGCAGGATTAGCCCAGCTAGAACTGCACAATGGGTTATCTGGTTTCTGACAGTGCCTGCTTATGGCCATGTGACCTTGCTGCAAGGAGCTTCAGGGAATGGCTATCGCTTTTGTCTGCCTGTGATCCCAGCCAGTGATCGTTTTGTCCCGTAGCGTGAGGATCGCTGAGCTTGTAACCCTTATCCTAGCTAATATGGCTGTGGATGTTGTTTCACCGTGCAAACATCCAATCCCTTTCTAAAACCTACTAAGCTATTTGACTCGCTGTCCTGTTCTTGTGAATAAGTTAAAGCCTTCCCTGCTGTAAATGGAAACCAACTATTGTGTTCTAGGCTATTAGCTGTACGCATGCCGAAAACCGGAGGCTGCTTGCTTGTCAAATACCAGTACAGGCTAAAAGCAGTCTGTTGGCTCAGCAGAGATCTGGGAACGGGCACCTTTATGCAGAGGCGGAACCGAGTTCCCTGCTAGTGTGTGCGCTCCCCGGATGGTTAAATTAGGGTCCTAGCTCAGCGTGCCCTGTAGCCCTTAAAGTCTTCGTAGTCTGAGCAGAGCGTGTGCTACAGTAACGGGATTCTCTCTGTGCCGTCTGGGGTGCAGAGCCTGTTCTGTGTCCCTTCCAGGATTTCAGCTGTTCCCCTGAAGCTAATACTGATTCCTCTAACTCCTCTCTGGCTTAAATGCCTCTTCTACCTCCTCCAGCCATCTAGGTGTTTCTGCTAAGAGCGAAAACAAGCAGGCAAGTTGTGATCGTCCCTCCCTTACAAGTCATTTCTTCCTGCTGTAGCTATGACTGGTCCTACAGCTATCTCAGCTGCTCCTCCCTCTCCTCCCCCAGCTATTAATTCTGTCAGGTTTTTCTTCCCAAGCTTTTTGCAGTCCAGAGAGTATGTGTACGTCTTCTTCCCTGCACCATGGTTCCCTCACACAGCTTCTGGTTAATTTTTACCAACATGGATGCCATTTGCCAAGATGTTCAGAGCCAACTGGTTCTCTGGTTCCAGCAAAAACCCACTGTCCCAGAGCAATTCTGCCTGAATAAGCAGCTGCCTCTTGTTCCTGACAGGGAAGCCCATGTCAGAGCCATTATCAGCTGTGTTAAATTCTGTATTTCTCTAAAAGCAGGGCATGACATGCAGATTTTTTTGTATCTGGAACTTTATCACTTCAGACAGAATTTATCACTTGCTCTCAGTCAGGCCGCCCAAATTATCGCACTAGGAACGCAGAAGGTTTATACGTATTTTTTCTTTCCCAGAAGTTTCTAAGATAAACAGAGTTGTTTGGTGAAGGCAGAGGGAAGTGAAGTTTGAATTATTTCTTTTGTCTCAGCATTATGGCCCCTGGTGCAGGGACCCCTGGAAGATCTAGTTTTAGAGCAGCCCTTATTCCCGATCATTTAGCAGGATCAGCCAGGCAGGGGTTACTATAGAGACACCAGTGTCCCCATCCCTTCCCCCACCCCCAAAAATGGCTGAGCGTACTTACTTTCTTGGCACTCCCGGCGCCCTCCCTCTTGACTGCTGGGTGTATCGGTCCGCATTCTGGCAGCAAGGAGAGTTAAGCTGCCATTTCTAGTTGTTCTGAGTCACTGTGCAGATGGAGGGAGGGAGGGAGGGAGGGACAGGCTTTTTCCCCTTTGCCTTGTTTGCTCAGAGAGCTCTGGGGAGAATGCCAGGCGCTGCTGGTGCTCAGCTCAGTTCAGGGCCGCTGCCTTTCTGGTGCTTTCAGAGCCTGGACGGGACATTGCCCTAAAGCTGCTCCTTCAGACAAGGGTAATGGATACAGTCGGGTCACCCAGGAAAACTCGGCCTTGCCCGCGTAGTAATGATTTCTGTTCGCCAGCAAATGAAACCCAGGCTGGGCCCTAGAAAAGCGCAATATTTCTTACCTAAATAGATTTTAAAGTACTCGTCCAGTAGAAGGAGATTTCCTGGCAGTGCTGGAGACCAGAGCACGTGCGAAAAGGCCGAGCTTCCCTGCAGAGGAGGAATGAGACAAGATGTGTCTGGCCACTGTGTGCCTGCCGGGCTTTGGAGAGGCTTCGTCAGACCCTGGAGTCTGAAGCGGCCTGATCTGGGGCTCCCTGGCTGCCAGCTGTGAAGCCCCTCGCATGACAACTACAAGGAGGGGCAGGAGGGACGGCTGCGTCTCTCCGTGGCAGCTGAACTCCCGTGGTGCTGGCTGCATATCCTCATTGCGTGGAGCTAAACATGACTTCCTGCCACTACTTTTCTCGGTAGGGTTATCGCTTTTTTCTTTATCTTAATCAGAAGGATGTTACATGATAAGTAAAAAAATCCCCTTATTTCAAAGATGTACATTGGGGTGCGTGGGACCTCAGCAAATAGCTCCGTAACGCACCTCTGGTCCTTCCAATCAGCTAGACCTCATCTTGACAAAGCCCTCGAGCCCGGAGCATTACCCCTCTTTAAAAAAACCGGAGACTGAGCAAAGGCCTGGGGTCTGCCTGGGAGCTTTGCAGAGACAAAATCCTGCTTCTGAAACCTTATCTGCGTGGGAGCTGTTGTTTTCTCGTTGCGGGGATCAGCTGGAGATGTTGTTTGCCTGTTTCAATAGCAGGAAAGAATTTTTCATTTCCTTGAGGTCACGTGACTCGAATGTAAAGAGGATTCGGGGTATGGCAGTGTTAATTACGCCCGATTAATAACCTGCCTGCCCTTGCCATTAAATAAGCCAACAAAACGAGCTCCGTCCCGGCGGCCTGGCAATTCCTCCCCCCCCCGCGCGCATGGGATTTGGTAGCTTTGCTTTGACGTAAGAGCCAAATGGCCGAGAACGCGTGAGCGGATACTGTGACAGGATTCCTCTGCCTGCGTGTGTGCCGGGGCGACGCGATAATTAAAGGTGCACGGTCAAGGCGCAAGTATTTTAAAGAGCCCTAATGTGCAACACCCTCTTAGTAACACCTTATTAAAACAACAATAGAATTTTAGAAATGTAATTGCCTTTTTTTTCTTAAAGATGCTAAAAATAGCGCAGTCGTTTTGATTTCCTGATCTGTGGCTGACAGCATGATTTTGTCTCCAGCAAAGCAAGGGAGTATTAGAAAAAAGAAAATGCTTTCTTTTGTAACTGAATTCCTTTTAAACTAGGAGCGATGAAAATAAGGCTGCTCATAACAGCTCTTGCAAATCTTCCCCTTCTCTTCCTCCCCTTTCCCCTGGAGAAAAAAAACAACTTCAGAAGTTGTTGGGTGTTTGGTTTTTTTTTAAATCAGTTGGAAGGTGAGCGAGGGTGGTGGCTGCTGCAGCACCGTGGCCAGGAGGGACGGCATGCACAGCTTTCTTGACACATGGCGTTGGCTGGCCTCAGAAGCAGCCCCCTTCAGTGGCCGAGGGAAAGGGCTCCTGAGCGAGGGAGGACAAACCAAGCCCAGAAAAACGCTGAGGGGCTTTGTGGAAACGAGGCAAGAGAGGAGCTCTGTATTTTTCACGCTTGGGAGACGATTGCTACGGAGAATTATTTAACCAGAGGAGCGCAGAGCGGCTCGGGAGGCGTCTGTGCTCTTCGTCCCTTTTGAAGATGGGCGATAAATTACGCGTTTGAACATCACTGTGTTATTGAGAAGATCTGATTCCGAGGTGGAACGTGACTCCACGGTGGGGTTTTTCTCGGGAATTTGTCAGAACCGAGGCAAACAGGGCATTTCGCGGACCAGGCGAGCTGCCCCCG